GCTGAGAGAAATGGAGGGAAAAAGTTCATATGGAACACACTTTCACATAGTAATCACTACAGAAGTGTATGGGAGCCCTGGTGGCCCAGTGGTAAGAAGTCACACTGCAATTTCTAAGGCCCAGCATTCAGATCCACCAGCAGCTTCACAGAAGGCTAGGCAATCTCTTCCTATGTAATTCACAGCTATGGTTCAGCTCCAACTCAACAGTACTCAACAACAACATCATAAGTGTATACTGCTATTGCTTATCCTTAAGCTGTATAGTACACAACATAACTGATTGCCATGGAGTTCATTCTTACCCATGTTTATCAGAGTAGAACTGTGCTACACAAGTTTTCCACAGCTGATTTTTCACAGTAGATTGCCAGGCCTTTCTTCCTAGGTCACTCTAAGTGGATTGGAACCACCGTTTCTGTCAGCAACTAAGAATATATTAACTATTTGTAACACCCAGGACTCTGTGCAGTATAAAGTAAATGTGTTAGGTTAAATGGAATTCATAAGTGATCATTTTAAATTTAACCTTACAGGGAAAATCCACATTATGGACTCATTTCCAGAATATCTTTTTATTTCCTTCAAGCAAATGCAATCTAAGGACCACCTTAAGGAATATTTATAGAGAACTAATTGATTTAAAAAAAAAATAAGAACACACCATTGTTGTTGTTGTTGTTGTTGTTGTTGTTGTGTGCCATTGAGTCTGCCGAGACTCATAACAACCTTATGTATAATGGTCTGAACCTACTCTATCCTGAGCCAATCTCAAAGTCTCTGAAATGCATGCTCCCTTTGCCCCAGTTACTAGGTCAATCTATTTCATCCTGGGTCTTCCTCTTCTGCACTGTCCTTCCATGCTTCTAAGCATGATGTCCTTCTCCAAGGATTGGTCTCTCCTGGAAACATGTCCAAAGTATGTGGAAACGGAGCTTCAAAATCCTTGCCTCTGAGGAGCAGCTTGATTTCACCCTCTCCAGGACAGATCTCTTTGTTCTCTTCACAGTCCACTCATGGAGGTAATCCTGATTCATGGCAACCCTCCATTGTGTATCCAAGATAGAAATCTTATTGAGTGAAGAATGATTCCTCTTTCTCCTGAGGAGCAACTAGTGGGTTCAAACTGTCACACTTAGGGTTAGCTGTCCAACCTGAAACCTATCACAGACATTAGCCTATTGCTGAGACCAGAGCAAAGCCAGGTGAAAATGTGTTTCAGAAAAATTTGCTATAGTCTGTTTTTTAAGTAGATGTGATGTTAATTACTCTAAGACGTTTATAATCAAGCAAGACATTGAAAGGGAAGGGCAAAGATCACTTTGGGTGAAAATTTTGTGCAAACTCTTTTCTTTGAAAGTGTACGTACATACTCGGGTTTCACTCTGGAATTTATCAGTCTTTGGTCCTTTATCAAAGATGTCCGGAGTTGGAGCTATTATGAGTTAAACGGCATAAAAGTGTACGTACAGAGGGCACTCTGGTGGCCTAGCGGCAAGAAACTGCACTGCAATCCCAAAGGCGCGTAGTTTGAATCTACAACATGCTCTGCTGGGGAAGGAGGGGCAATCTTCTCCTGTGCCAGTGGGATCTGATTTGACAGTACATAATAAGAGAAAAGAAAAAAGTATGTACATACACATTTTGCTAGTTATCCATTTCTACAATAATGGTCTTTGTACAGTATTTGTCCTTGTGGAACTGAGTTAGTTTACTTAGCATAACGCTCTCCAGTCCCAAGTGAGGATTGAAGGGGGAGGTGGGAGAATAGAGGGATGAGGCTGAGGAGGAGGGTAATCATAGGGTGGCACAATTTGATGGGGGAGGGTGGCTTGGGTTAAGGAAATGGGATAGGAAAGATCTGGTGTGAAAAACAATGTACATACAAGACAAAATGCCTATGAGTGATTGTGTGGAAAACTAGTATGATTTCTAAACCTACACTCAAAAAAATTTTCAAATAAATGCATGTGCATAGTTTATGAAAGAGTTCATCAACATTCTCAATATTAAAATTGGTTTTGAGTCCTCTACTTTCACGTAGAATGTCTTCAATACAGATTGAAGTTTAACATTAAGAAGACAAAGATTCTCACCACTGGGCCAATTGATAGCACCATGATGGAGAAGAGACTGAGGTTGTTAACAATTTCAGCTAGCTTGGCTCCACAATCACACTCTTGGTACCAGTAGCCAGCAAATCAAAAGATGAATTGCATAGGGAAAATCTATTGTCAGAGACCTCTCCAGAGTACTAAGGAGCAATCATGTCAGTCTAGAGACTAAGGTGCACCTGATACAGGCCATGGTCCTTGCAATTACATGCTATACTCTAGAGAGCTGGACAATGACTAAGGATGACTGAAGAAGAATTGATGTCTTTGAGTGACTGAAGAAGAATTGATGTCTTTGAGTTGTAGTGTTGGAGAAGAGTATTGAACATACCATAAACCACTAAGAGAACAAATAGGTCTTTCTTGGAGAGGGTGAAACCAAGTTTCATCTTGGAGACTAGGATTTTGACACTCCATCTCACATACTTCAGGCACGTGGCCAGAAAGGGACCAGTCTTTGGAGAAGGATATCATGCTTAGAAGGGTGGAGGGACCACACAGGAGAGGAAGACCTCAGAAAAGATGGATTGACACAATTATTTGGGCAATGTGATTAGGTATGTTGGAGTCAGTGAGACTGGCTCAGGATAGGGCAGGCTTCAGAATTGTTGTATATTGGGTCGCTAGGAGTTGCAGGCAACTCAACGGAACATAACAACAGGTAGAAAACTACCAAAAAAAACCCACCACCAAATTCAACACTATCAAAAGACTTCCTGCTCTAGAGGAAGAGAAAATTCTCCCTGAAGGACACCACCATTCTTTCTGATAAGTGACCACTTCGTCTTTTACCTGCTGATACTTAGAGTCTTCTGGGACACCTCATGGTTCCTGAGCACTTGTCAGAACTGACCCCATTGTTCCCAACCATCATCTTCCTTTGTTTCCTCAACCCTTACATTTACAATAAAAACTCCAACCACCTGACCTTTGAGATGAGCATCCTCTTGATACATGGCCCCTCTCTTTTCTTGGAGGGGGGCTCTGGTGCCTTCTTATTGTTTCCCTCAAGTCCAAGTGTGATTCAAAATAAACACAGACAGCAGCCCTGGAGGCAGCCTCCAAGGCCTTCTCAGCACACAATTCAAACAGAGGTGTCATATCTAGTAGATTCTATTAAACAGAAACGCCCATCCCCCCAAAAAAAATCCCACATATAAAAGACCTTTATCAAAATGCCCAAATCCCCTTTTTAATACTTTCATGTAAAGCAGATTTTAGCTTTCATCAATCTCCCTGCCGCCTAGTGGGTTCTTACTCATATCGAGCCTCCATCCAATTTCTCAGACTATCAACTCAATGGGAAAAAACTGCCCATCTTTCTCTGGTGAATTCGAACCAATGGAGACGTGTAGTCTTTTTAACATGTTGTGCCACAACACGCCTGTGGACTATGCCACGAGAGCTCCTTCTGAGCTTCTATTGTTGCAAGATGCCTATTATTTTAAGGATAAAAGCAATGCAGCAGTCCCTCCAAGAAATCACACAGATTGCCCACCACCCTGAAGGATAACCCTATCCTCAAGAATATTAGAAGTCTGGTACTTACGAATCCTTTCAAAAGCAAAGAGATGAAGGGAAAGCTATTGTTTACTGGTTATAAGGTTATGCACTGTTCCTTAGCAACCAAAACCATTTTGACAGTTACTATTTATTGAGGTAGCACTTCAAAAGCTGTAATGTCTTTTACAAACCGCAGTGAGGAGTTAAAGCAGTTCATTGCATCAGGAAGGAGAGAAAGGATGGCTGACATTTCTGCAGTAAATGTTTCCAGGATACCAACTGTAGTTCTTTCCACCAGAGGCCAGGGATAAACACTACAGATCTGTTTGTGTGTGCGGCACATCTCAATTCCCCGGATAAAAAGTCTGGCAGCAACTTCCCGAGCCCACTCCTTGTTTGGAGGAGGCTGGATGGTCTGAGAGTATTCCTGGGACAGCAACTCACTCACAGAGGCCGCATTTGGAGCTTCTGCCCACCGGAGAGGGAATTCCGCTGGTGTAGCCCTTAAGGAGGGGTGCTATTAGCCCAAAAAGGCTGTGCCTCTCTGGAAGTTCAAATCCTCCAGCAACCTCAGGAGAAATATGGGCAATCTCCTTTGCAATTTATAGTCTCTGAAAAATCCTCTTGAGGGTTAACTATGAGTCAGTTCCAACTTGACCGCCTTTTTGTGTTTTGACCAATCTTAGGTCACAGAGGGCATTGGGGGCTCAGTGATAGAATTCTCACCTTCCTTGTGGGAGACCTGGGTTTGATGCCTGGCCAGCGCAACACATGTGCAGCCACCGCTCCCTGTCACTAGAGGCCTGCATGTTGCTTTAATGTTGAATTGGTGTCAGAACTTCCAGGGTAAGACACTAGGAAGAAAGGCCTGGCAGCTAATGAAAACCCTTTGGATCACAGGGGTCCGGTTCATAGCCAATTAAGTGACTGTTGCAGGATAGAGCAGCAGTTTTGTTTGATCATGTATCAGTCATTATGACTACACAGCATGTCACAACCACCCCACTCCACATTCCCTCTTTGCCTCTTAACCTGGCTGCTGGCATGACAATGTCATTTAGAGCTCTAGTCTCCTCTAATGTCACATCAGTTAAAGTTCAGGATACTTGGAAAATGAGTAAGTAGCCCAGGAGCTTTCTAGATACCCTCTTCTTCCAATCTGTAGAATCCAAGGCGGAGGTCCCTGCGCCTTGAATGAATGAAACTGAGGTGGTCAGCAAAAGACCTCAAACTTACAAGAGGATTCCTGAGCACTTCCGTTCTGCTTTCCCCTAGAGCGCTGTCACTGGGGCCCCCTTAGTTTTCAGTTCCTGCCATTCAGAGTTGCCCTTGAATTTGGCAGACCCTGGTCCCTCCCTCCGCAAGAGGTTGGTAAGTACTTACTGCTGGAGCGTCTGGCCCGCGTGGCCCTGGTTCTCCCGCAAAAGGTCTTCAGGGCCCTGTCTCTGGCCTGGGGGCGGGTCCTGCTCTGTGCGCCTGGAAGAGGGGTCCCAGGCTGGGCGGGAGCCAGGGGTGGCGCCAAGCCTGGAGGTCCCCACCACCCTGCTCCGAGTGTACATGGCTCCGAACCGCGGGCACCGGGGAACCGGCTGGAGCACCTGGCTAGTCTCGAGATGAGATTCCAAAGAGCAAGGACAGCGGTTTTAACAGCTGAGTTTCGATTTTTCTAACAGCTGAGTTTCGATTTCTCGCTATCAGCTGTAGACTGTGCTTTCGTAGGGGGACTTCCCCATTCACTCGCTGGGGAGGCGCCTCTCACCTTTAACTTCTTGGCTGCTCCACCCTCCTGGGCTGTCAAGTGCGGCTCATATTCTCCCAGGCTACAGGTGATTGCTTTTAAGGTCTCAACCACTTAAAGGGAACTCTGGTGGCAGAGTCCATAAGGAGGTGTGTCGCCCAAGGGCTCTGGTGGCTCAACTATACCAACAGAGCCTCACAAGAAACAGTCTTCTCTCCTGCAATTTACAGCCTCAGAAACCCAAAGGAGAGGGGTCAGCTGTGAGTCAGTTTCCACTATGAATTGAGACCACCTTAAAGGATAAAAGGATGATTCAGATTGTCCTCATCAGCAAGGACACCTGGAGGGCCAGTAGCCACAGATTGGGTACAATCAGGGAGATGATTTTTGGAATGGCTTAACAGGTCACCCTAAATTCAGGTTACTGCTGGATGTTAGAGATAGTGATGTTTGAGAACTGTAAGACAGCAGACCAGAGTTTGCAGTTCCGCCCCCCACCCCCCACGGTAATAACTGGTATTTGGTTGATGTGCAGATACTGTTGAGTTTCTTGTTGTTATGTGCCTTGGAGTCGCCTGTGACTCATAGGGACCCTAGGTAAAACAGCCCTAAACCCTGCTCTGTCCTGTGCCAACCTCACTGTCTCTGACACACTCAACCTGATTACCCCAGTCACTGAATCAATCCACCTCATAGGGGGTCTTCGTCTCCTGCGCTGTCCCTCTACCTTCCCAAGCATGACATCCTTCTCCAAGGACTGATCCCTCCTTGCAACATGTCCGAAGTATGTCAGATGAAGCTTCAGAAGCCTTGCCTCCAAGGAACAGCCTGATTTAACCCTCTATAGGACAAACCTGTTCATTTTCTTAGCAGTCCTTGGTACATTCAATACTCTTCTCCAACACCACAGCTTAAAGACATCAGTTCTCTTTCTATCCTCTCTAGTCATTGTCCAACTCTCTGACTCATTTTTTTTCTTTTGGTTTCACTTTTTATTTCCCTAAACTAAAAAATGAACATCATACCACTTTCGAGTTTAAGAAAATGAAAAGTGAAACAACAACCAAAAAAAAATCATAGCTAGGCAAGGGAGTGAGAATGAGGCATTTCTCCAGGAAACTTCACTAGTAACTGACCAGATGTTCAAGAAATACTAAATGTCTGCTCTGAGCAGGGTAAGGTCCCTGAGTGGCACAACTGGTTTGCACTTAACTGTTGACCACTTTTCTCCAAGATATACTTGGTCTTTTGACAGTCCATGGGATATTCAGTGTTCTTCCCCAATGCCATAACTCAAAAACATCAATTATTGTTTTGTCATCCCTATTCATTGTCCAGCTCTCAGATGCGGCACAAGTGACTGAAAAGATCATGGTCAGAATCAGGCCCTTCTTAGTCTTCAAACTGACATCCTTGCTCCTCAGTAATTTGGAAAGGTTGGAGACTTTACAGTGTAATAAATCTCCTGATCTCCTGATGGCGGATACCAAGCGTGTCAATTCTAAATCTAAGTAAGATGAAATAGTTCACAGTTTCAATCTTATCTCCATCTATCTTGATGTTGCTTATTTGTCCAGTGGTGAGGATTTTGGGATTCTTGATGTTGAGATGCAATCCATATTGAAGGCTGTAGTCCTTGATCTTCTTTCCTAGGGAAAGTGCAGCTTGAATGCTCCTTAAAGGCAAAGGATGATAAAGCTTCATCTCTTTTACTCTGGACATGTTGCTAGGAGAAGTTGTTCCTTAAGAGAGGGAAGTCATACTTGGAAAGGTGGAGGGTCAGTAAAAGAGAGGAAGACTCTCAATGAGATAAATTAACAGTGATTCTAAAGCTTCCTCTGACATATTTTGGACATGTTGCAAGGTGAGACCAGTACCTTGGAGAGGAACATCAAGCTTAGACAGCTGGAGGAATAAGGCAGAAGAGAAAGACCCTTGATGAGATTAATTGATTCAGTTACTGAAGTAATGGAAATAGGTTGAAGACAATAAGATTTGCACAGGATAGAACAGGGTTTAGGGCTGCTGGACATAGAGTCACTATGAGTAGCAGGTGACTCAATGGCACGTAAAAACAACAACAACAACAACAACATAAAAAGACAAGAAAATGCTATGCAGAGATAGACTCATCCTTGGATGATTTGCAAGAATTGCAAAGAAGGGAGAGGTAAGCAAAAATTAATTGATCAATAGGTTGGATGAAGGGAAAGGTATTGATCAGACATTGGAATTATTTAAATCAATTAAAATTAATGTTATAAAACAAAGTATGCATAAATAATTGGATAGAAAAAAAGAAACTCAAGGGCAGTATTTGCCCAGGGAAAAATTTCAGAAGGCAAGAAGGGATAGAAAAGAAGGATGAATGGAGACAGCAAACACAAGGAGGAAGTGGGAAAAGTGCTGTTACATTATAAAGAGGATTGCATCCATGTCACGAACCAAGAAGTGTATGAATTAACAAATGAAAAATCAATTTTCTCTGTGTAATTCCATCCAAATCACAATAAATGTTTTAAATTTATTTTACAGTAATGGAGAAGGGATGCAGAGGGGTTGAGTATAACAAGAAAAAGACATTTAAGACTGAATTACAGGAAACATAGGGACTCAACAGAATGAAGAAGGAACAATAGCTAAGGTTTATGATAGTATGGCATAGCTGGAGGATCACCACCACGGGCCTGAGAAGAGTTGGTAACTGGGACTGTCACGTTTACATTAAGTTTAAGTTGCCATTATTAGGGGCCATTGAGTCAACCATGACTCATAGTGACTCTATGAACAAAAGAGCTGAACCTGGAAACAACCCAAGTGCCCATCAACAGTCGAATGGATAGAGAAGCTCTGGTATATTCACACAATGGAATACTATGCGGCATTGATAAACAAGGAACTCATGCAATGTTACACAAAATGGGTGACCCTGGAGGGCATTATGCTAAGTGAAATATCTGTCACAAAAAAAGATAAATACAGCATAATGTCACTATTATAAAAGAGGACTGACATAGCGGTTGGGGGGAGACTGAGAAAGAGGGGTTAAATAATGTATACTGCATTGAAACAGATAAGGGAGAGAACAGTTTAAAAGGGATATATGATTAGATAGTTAAGAACAAAGGCTGCATAATGGAGTGGACTTGGGGAGAGAGTTTGAATAACTATGAAATAATTTTTTTTCTTTTACTTTTCAAAGAGAAAAGCTAATTGGGGGGAAGGGGTGGGCAGGGAGAAAAGTGCAACAAAGAATGAATGGAAATCCAAAGTCTCTGTAAACTTTCATTAAAATCAGTTAATTACAAAGAGAGAAAAAGAAGATCTGAACCCTGCTCAATCCTGTGCCATCTTCACATTTCCTGAAACACAACAGCGCATTGCAGCAGCCACCATATCAATCCACTTGGTTGAGGGTCTTCCTCTCCGTCATCGATTCTCCATCTTTCCCAGCATCGTATCCTTCTCCAAGGAATAGCATTTCCTATCAACATGTCCAAAGTATGTGAGGTTAATCTCGTCATTCTTGCCTCCAAAGGGCACTCCAGCTGCACCCTCTCCAAGACATATCTGTTTGTTCTCTTGGCCATCCATGGGATGTTCAGTGCTCTTCTCCAGCACCACAGCTCAAAGATGTCAATTCTCTTTCTGTCATCCTTATTCATTGCCCAGCTCTGAGATGCATATCTAGTAATGAGAAAGACTATGGCCTGAATCAGACGTATCTTAGTCTTCAAACTCACATCACTACTCCTCAATAATTTGGAAAGGTCACTAACTGCAGATTTCCCCATTGCTGTTTTTCCTTATTTCCTCACTGCTGGTACCAAGGCTGTTAATTGTCAATCCAAGCAAGATCCAAGCAAGAAGCTGTTGACAGTTTTAATCTCCTCTCCATCCATCATGATGTTGTCTGTTGATCCAGTAGTAAGAATTTTTGTATTCCTGACGTTGAGATGTAATCCCTATGGAAGGCTGCTTCCTTGATCATCTGCAACAAGTGCTTCAAATCCTCCTCATTTGCAGCAAGCAAGTTTGTGTCATCTCCATAATGGAGGTTATTAATGAATCTCTCTCCAGTCCTGATGCCACACTCCTCTTCATAGAGTTCAGCTTCTCGGATAACTTGCTTATCATATAGATTGAATAGGTATATAGAGAGAATATAAACCTGGTGCACTCACTTCCCAATGGCAAACCATGCAGTATTCCCCTGCTCTGTTCACACAACAGCCTCCTGCTCCAGGTATAGGTTCCACATGAGTGCAATCAGGCCCTCTTGGAGTTCCATTTTTTTCAAGGTCAGCCACAACTTGTTATGATCCACACAGTCAAATGCCTTTGCATGGTCAATAAAATGCACATAGACATTCTTCTAATATTGCTTACTTTCAGTCAGGGTCCATCAGAAATTATATCCCTAGTGCCACAGTCTCTTCTAAATCTGGCTTAAACTTCCGGCAGTTCCTTATTTATGTACTATTCCAGCTGGTTTTGAATGATTTTCAACAGGATTTTGCTTGTATATGATATCAATGATATTGTTTGATAATTTCCACATTCAGTTGGGTCACCTTTCTTGAGAATGGGATAAACATGGACCTCTTCCAATCTGTTGGCCAGACAACTGTCCTCCAAGTTTTCTGGCATAGACTGGTGAGTGCATCCAAGACTGCGTCTATTAATTGAAACAAGTAAATTTATATTCCATTGATTGCTGGGCCTTTATTTTTTGCCATTGCCTTCAATACAGCTTCTAGTTCCACCTTCATCATCACTGGCTCCTGTTCAAATGGTATTTCCTGGAAAATTTTTAGTGTC